CTGTCACGGGAGCCACAGCGTGCAGGGCTTTTTTTTTTTTTTTTTTCTTGCCTTTTTTTTTTTTTTTTTTTTGTAATCTCATTGACCATCGGCAGAGTTCCAGCTTCCAGTGAAGGAGAGCTTATGCACAGACCAAAAAAAAAAGTCTTAGCAAACAGACTGATTAAAGAACTATTTGGTGACATTATAAAAGGATATTTCCCTTGACAAGAAGAAGTCTGTCACCAAGTTCTTTTTAAACAACGGGTTGCCTGATGCTTTAGGAACAGTGTTCGGCGTGCAGAGTTTCGACTAGCATGGGACTTCAGGAACAGCATAAAGTGGCGGTCCTGTGTTGAGAATGAATTCACACACCTTGCTGAATCTCAAGGAGCTGGGAATAATGTCCTCAGGGGGCCTTTATCCTCCCTTCCAAGGGATCCAAGTGTGCAAAGTGGTAGACAGACTGGGTATGGACTTGCCCACAAGAATCTGGATTTGCTAAAACTGGGGTCTTCCCTTGAAGCCAGAGCTATTTTGAAACCAAATGGAAGGCTGGCTGGCTTCTCATGGCAGAGTCGGCTTGGGGAGCTTTTCCTCCGGAGAGCACGCACACGAGCAAGCTCGCCTGAGTTACAGGGACTCCAGCTCAGAAATTCTGAGCCTCGGTTCGGACCCACCAGCCCCCTGACCTCGTTGGCAGACGCTGTGTGTGATGCGGGTATTTTCTGGAGAAGGGGTTCGAGGCTTTCTCAGGCTCTTAGTGGGGTCCTTGATGCAAAGGAACCTCTGCTTTGGATCCGTTCTGAGGGGGCGGGTTCCTGTGGGGCTCTGAGAGGCTGGGGCGGCCCCCGCTTTTTTGACCCTGCTGTCTCGGGAAGTGGCTTCCTCAGCGTGTCCCTGGGCGGGAGGCATCCCTGATGGCTGGTGTCCATCTTCTCTCCTAGGAGGACGAAGAGGGTTATAACGACGGGGAGGTGGACGATGAGGAAGATGAAGAAGATGCTTGTGGTATGGCGGCGTTTGTACTCGCAGCTGGTAGCAGCCCTGGCCCCCTCGGTTGCCAGTAGACCGCGCGGGCCCCGGGGACCCGGCCGAGGGCAGAACAGGCCCATCCGAGGCCCCCGGGGCCTCCCCGGCTTTGCAGGCCCCCCGTCTCAGATTTGCCACAGGCGGCAAAGCTTCCCAGACCCGTGGTCCCCTGGTTTCCCAGCAGGTGGGTTGAGTTAGAAGCAGGATCAATGTTTTAACCTCAGTGCCTTTTCCTTACTCTTCCAGAAGAAGAAAGGGGTCAGAAGCGAAAACGAGAACCTGAAGATGAGGGAGAAGACGATGACTAAGTGGAATAACCTATTTTGAAAAATTCCTATTGTGATTTGACTGTTTTTACCCATACCCCCCCCCTGAAATCCCGCCCCCCGAAACTTATTTTTTTCTGATTGTAACGTTGCTGTGGGAACGAGAGGGGAAAAGTGTCCTGGGGGTTGTGGGGGGAGGGAGGGCGGGAGGGAGCGGAATAAAGTACTATTTTTACTGCCACTCTTTATTTTTTTCCCCTCCTTTTTCTTTGTGTCTGGTTTTGTCCCTGTAAACGCGATAGCTGAGTTACACACCAAGTGAGCGTTTGTTCCTTACTCCCAGAGAGGACGGTTTGGAGGGCTCTTACATTTCCTGGCATATCCCGAGTCTCTCGAATTGGTTGGAAGGCCATGGCTGGCCTCCACTTGGTTTCTCAGAAGCCCCAGAGGGGCTGAGCAGCAGCCCACGTCTTACCTCTTGTTCGGGTTCCTGTGATTCCTGCATTTCTTGGGCCTGCTAGAGGCACTCAACGCCCTGGTGTGTAAATAGCAACGTAAAGGCGTATTTTTGGCACTGGTTGGGGGACAATCCCCGTCTCTCATTTCTTTCCTCCTTCACAGATGGTGGTGGGCTTTGCTCTCTGAAGAAGACTCTGATGTCACTCTTCAGAGCTATGAGCCAGAGAGCTGGAAACAGCAGGCTTAGGAGTTAGGAGTAAAATGGAGTTGGTAGTTCTAATGAAAAGAGAAGGAGCAAACCCTCAAACGTCAACCTCTTTAAAAGATTTAAAAAACAAAACAAACAAACAAAACTGTCCTATCTTGTTCTGTAAAATACTAGAGCGCTTTGTTTTACGAAATGACAAGAGAATCCCTCCACGTGTACTTCTGTGCTGAGACCATTTTTACAGACCTGAGTGCAGGAGACGCTGCTGCATGTCGGCTGGGTTTGTTTTTCATACGCCCGAGCACGGAAAAACTAACGCAAAATTGTATTTTCTTACCTAGTGGAAATCTGAAATGACTGCAAATTCCTAGTGAATGTACAGGTTTGCTTTCATGTCCCTCTTCTGGATTGCTTTAGAAGTGACGTGTGATTTCCTAGCCCGTGTTTCATCTGTATAAAAGAACATCTGCACCAGTTTCTCTCCTCCCCCCTCAGAAGAGCCAAACTTTTGAGTTTTATGTCTGTTTGTCATTGATAAATTTCAATAAATCTTTTTATACAATTTTTTTGGGGGTGGCTTCTTTGAGTCCAGCAGGGCCATCAGTCTTTCTAAGATGCCTTCCAGATAAGCTTCTAGCTGATGGGGTGGGGGGAGGGAAGCTTAGCATTGGTTATCTGATAAAACAGCTTCTTTTCAGGGCAGGTAACCTGATGCTCAGTTTTGGAAGCTTTGGGTCTCAAAGCAAGGCTCGGTGGTGTGCTGTCTTCGTTGAAAGCTTCGTTGTCAGCATAAAAACCTAAAAAGTTGTAAAGATAGAAAAAGTTACTCAAACACCAGAACAATCACTAAAAATTTTGTTACGCCAACTTTGGGACCTTATTTTGAATTCTCTTTCACAGTTTTGTTGAGACTGCAGAAAGAATATATGCTTGAAGATCTCAGGAATGTATAAAACAAACTTACTCCTTTTTGACTTACCATGATTGTGGTAATTTCTCTTAACTCGGAAGAGTTTAAAAGCATGTATCTTCAAAGGCGATGTAGCAGTCCATTAACTGTTCTGACTTGCTGAATGCTAACCACATGGTTAGACAAACATTTGGGTTATTTCCCACTTCTCACTACAGTGGGTGTTCTGTCGTTAGACATTTTGTGCATTTTTTAGTACAAATGCTTAAAAGTAGGGTCATTGAACCCAAAGTTGACATTTCTAAGGCTTACGTGCAAGGCTCTGTGTTTTCCAGAAGGTTTATACCCATGTACTGTGGTAGTGAGTGCATATACACATACGTTCATTCTCAGCCCTGCAGCCTTGAGCCCCGCAGTGAGGGCTAGTTCTGTGCAGTTTCCGCAGAATGAGGTGCTTCTTGGGGAGAGACCGAGGCACCCCATCTCCCGGCTGGTGCCCTGGTACCTGCTCTCCTTTTCTTTGGCACAAACCTCCTCTGGCTCCAGGTGTAGGATGAGGAGAAGGCCTCCCAGAGCCAGGTGCTGTGCCACACGCGGGTGGTGAGGATGAACCAGGGGGGCATGCTCTTGCCTCCCAGGGCCGGGGAAAGAACATAGGAATGGGGTGAAAGCGAGAGACACTCGGACCCGGCCCTGGGTTTTCTGGCCCTGACTCCCTCCGTGGAGGCTTTAGGGGTTAGCTGACTCACATAGAGATCTGGACATAAATGCTGCAGAATGTAAGGAAAAATGGATGGTGATGAACAGGTTAGTGCTGATGGGATTAAGGGAAGAACAGGCTATCTGTATCGATCATACCAAGCATTCACATCAACCCTCGAGGAAAAGGGTTTACTGTGCCCATTTTACAGATGACGGAAACTGAGGTCAAGTGACGGGAGGGCAAGAAGCGACGGAGCCAGCATGAAACCCGGTCTGTTGGGGCTATTTCCATTTCACTGAACTTAGTCATGAATGGCAAGGAAGAAGAGGAAGCTCAGCCCAAGGGGGAGGCAGTAAAAGCCTATCTGTCCAACTGGCTGTGTGCCTGGTACCAGGCTTTATTTGCAGCATCTCGTTCATCTTACTGAATCCTCACAGCCACCCTGGGTAAACGCCATTCTTGTTCTACAGGTGGCTCAGAGGGATCGCCCGAGGTCATGCAGCCAGAAGAGCAGCGGCACCAGTAATAAGCCAGGGGGTGTGGTCCCAGAGCCAGGCCTCCTTCCTTACACCCGGGTGCCAACAGCCTCCTCCCCCTCGCCCTGCTGGGGGCAGAGCTTTCCCTGCTGAGTGCTAGCAAATACCATAGCATGGACCCTTGGGAGGGAAGGACCCTTAGAAATCACCCGGTCATCAATGGTCCCATTGGATCGAAGAGGAAACCAAAACCAGGGGGGCATGAGTGATGTGCCCAAGGTCACGTTGCAAGGCAGTGGCAGAGCCCAGCCTGGAACGCAGGACCCCCGTTCCTGGGTGGCTGCCCCATATCCACAGCGGCCCTGCGGTTGCAGGGAGGCCGGCTACTGTGGGAAGTGGGAGATCGTCTCCCAGGAAGAACACAGCCAAGCCTTCGGCCGACAGGATGTAGCGAGCGCCACCGCACATCACGTGTTCCGTGTGGCTTTGGAGTGCAGCCTATGTTTTTAAAGATCCACAGGGGGTTTGGCTTCCCCATCGTGTCTGCCGTTGATCATCCCTGGAATCTGTGCGCATTTCCTGATGCAGAACCAGTCCCTGGAAAGAGAGTAATGATGATGATGATTCTAGATTATGAGCTACTCTGTGTCGTGTGCTTTATATCCATTGCCTCCCTTAATCCTCACATAGATCTCATAGAATCAAAGTTCAAAGAGAAGACAACTAGCCTGGCTAGTCAGTGGCGGTTAAGCCTCAAACTTACGTCCTGACACGACAGACCTTGTTCTTATCCACCATGTTAAAATGAGCCAGGCATGAGGGAAGGGGGGGATGAGCAGTTCCGTTTTTCTCATTTGCTGACTTGCAAAGGCTGTTTTTATCCTTGTTCAGAAACTCATTGTTCATGGTTGGAAGGATTCCCACAGTGGGTCCCTAATAAGCAGCTTTGCACAATGGTGGCCCTGAGTCCCTGGACCAACCCTTAGACAGGCCCCTGTGGCAGGCTGGGCCCTGGCGTGAGTGAGCAGGGCCAAGGAGAGGGAGGGAGGTGGTGGCATGGAGGAGGGCAGGTCAGGCCGAATCAGGCAGGCCATGAGTATATCAGCAGGGAAGAAACGAGAAAGACTCCAATCTGATGGGACATGCGTAGCCTGCTGACTGACGGTGACAGGAAGCTGATGCAGCGGACATCTGTGGACTTGGGTCTGGCAACAACAATCTGGGGTCCCCCAGAGGGACTCACGTGGATATGGCACCACTCATTCCCATTCCTGAGGTTCAAGTGGGACTACCCTCTCTGGTTCCCGGGATGACCCAGTCCTGGCCAATCAGTGTATTCTGAACTTAGACCATAGTGACTGGTACAAGGAAGGGCCTGAAACCCAAGCTGGTTAAATGAAGCTTGGTCCCTGGAATTTGGAAAATGAGAAACTTCCTGTTGGGGGTTTGGGGCTGGGAGGTCAGAGGCCTGGAGTTGTGGAGGCACACATATCCCTTGGAGAGAGCCTCTGGACCATTCCATTTCAGCCTGGAAAAGCCCTGACCACTACGACGGAGTGAAGACACCAACATATATTTAAAACTTGTCTGCTGGACATTGAACGTCATTTTGCTTGTTTCTCATCTGGTAGAGTCATTCTTATCCGCATTTCAAAGACTGAACACATATAAATGCTCGATAAATATTAGCTACTTAGTGCCAGACGCAACAATAAATGCCTTCTAGAAATCTGGCTGGTGTTTTCCTGAATGTCCCTGATAAGAACCCCTGGGGCTTGTCAGACGGCCAGCCTCACCCACTGGGAATTCTGGTTCAGTAGCTCTGGATGGAGGCCTGGGAATGTGTGTGTTAACAAGTACCCAGAGGATTCTCATCACTGGGGACATTTGGGAAGTGCTCCGTCAAACTCAGTACCCATGCTGGCCCAGTGAGGAAGGGGTGGCCATGCTCAGTTAAAGCTGAGAAAGTGAGGCTCGAGAGCGAGATTAAGTAACCCACCAAGCTGCCACAAGCCAGTGACAGAACTGGGATTCGAACCCGGGTCTCCACGACTTTCACACTTGTTACAGAAAGAGGATGATACTAACCACTGTGTAGCTCACAGGTTGTGAGGCGAAGGGAAAGATGGGAAAGAACGTTGCAAAGCGGAAGACCAAGGCTGCTATTAAGAAGAAAAGGAGAGGGGCACCTGGCTGGCTCAGTCGGAAGAGCATGCGCCTCTTGATGTCAGGGTTCTTGAGTTCAAGCCCCACGTTGGGTGTAGAGATCATTAAGAAAATAAAGAAACTTAAAAAAAAAAAAGAAAAGGAGAGTGAGATGCCAGTTTTATGAAAAAGAGGCCCAAGCGACCCAAATATTTTCTGTAAGAAGCAGAAAACAAAGTCCTAAAAGCCGCTTGGTAATTAAGATAATCTGCATGGAAGGTGTTTCATCCCCCTCGAAAAATTTACATACAATAAAATTCACTCTGCACCAACTGCCACAGTCAGGGTACAGTTCATGAAAGATGTTAGTTGTAAAAAGAAATGGATTTGCGCTCCGGGGGTAGGCTCAATTTGCTGACCGCCTTCTGAGGTGCCAGGCATCCGGGCCAGGGCTCCGGAGTCAGGAGGCCTGGGTCGCCATCCTAGCTCTGCTCTGAGACTCCCTGGCTGGGTGATTGCAGGCGCGTGGCCTTGAGGAGCTACAAGAAGAGTAGTGCAGAGTAAGTGACCTCTGACAGCCTTAGTGGACGGTTTGTTGTGCTTGTCTTTCCCTCGTGCCCTGAGGCCCCCAGTCAGGCCTCCGCTGAACAGGAAGCTTGGTAAACGCGTTCCGTGTCCAGACTCGGAGGTGCCGACAGGAAGGGTCAAGGTGGGAGACACAGCCTTGCTGCTAAGACAGGTGCACTCTGATGAGGAATTAGCAAAACGAGTTTCTGAGGCCTCCCCGTGTAGACAGATAGCCCGGTCTATGCGGCCCCACCATTGCCCGGGTGACCCAGGTGAGCCAATCAGGAAGTGGGGAGAAAACCCATCTGTGCGGAGGGCTCGCTGTGTGCCCAGAGCTTGCCATGCGTGATCTCACTTCATCCTCACGGCGTCACGGTCTCTGAGGTATTCTCCCCGCTTTCCAGATGAAGAGACTGAGGTTCGGGGATGTTAGGGAGCTTGCCCAGGATCACACAGCCAGGAAGGCCCCGGCTGGTATGAGAACCCGTGGCTTCCCGGTCAGAAGGCTGAAGATGTTTCCTCCGTACCCAGCCCCGTGCCACCGCACAGAACTGCAGCAAGATTCGTGGGCTCCAGATCTTGGTTTGACTGATTTCAAGCCTTTTCTCAGGAATCTAGCTCTCAGGCCCAGCACGGTCCTCCTACTCCGCTCCGCGGTTCTCCAGACTCCTAGGTCTGTGACAAAACCAGTCTCCCCAGAGTCCCTGGGAAAAGATGTCTCCAACAAAAATGATCTGGACCCTGGGAACAAGGAGACTTGCTC